TGCTCTTGTTTATCATCTTAATGTATTCTCCAGCACAGCTGACCCCTTCCCCAGGAAGCCCTCTTGGACCCCCAGGCTGGATCTGGAGCCCCCTCTGGGCTCCCACATCCCAGCCTGGACTACTCCGGGTTGTCACTGCTGGGGATGGTTCTGCCTCCCCCACTGGATGGTTAACCCTGGGAGGGCAGGGCTGCAGCTGCTGTGGTCAGCCCTGGGTCCCCAGTACTACCCAGCACAGGGCTCTACATGGACCAGGGGCCGGAGGAAGGCATGTTGAATGAATGAATGAATGAGTGAATGGCTTTAGCAATTATTTGATCTGACTGTCATTTGTCTGTTAGTCCTCTTTCCCACCTTAGCACATACAATCATGTTTTCTGTCTATACTGGAATTTAGAGGAAACTTACTAATGAAGTTGTGTGTGTGTGTGTGTGTGTGTGTGTGTGTGTGTGTGTGTGTGTGAAAGAGAGAGAGAGAGAGAGGGAGAGTGCTAGCTTGAGAGCTTGAGGAAGAGAGTTTGAGTGTGTTCCAAGAGGGAAGAGATGGGCGGGGGGGTGGGAAGCAGGGAGGGCTGACGACTTGAGCAAGGAATGGGCTGGAGTTTCGGATTTTGGAGATATAATCTGTGAACTCTGTGAGGGCAGAGGCCATGTCTGTCTTGTTCTGGGCCATGTCCAGCGTCTAGTCACACAGAAGATCCTCAATAAATATTTGTTGGGTTAATGAATGAACAAGGTGTTGTTAAAGTAGCCTAGGAATCTTGCTGTGCCTCTATAATTGCAGATCATGGTGTGCTTTGGGCAGGTCTTGAACCAGAAGTAAGTTCTTTTTGTCCCTTTCAGCGATGAGAGAGTCAGACTCATTGCTGGTAAGCATGGGAGACAAATATGAGACTGCCGTCACCACTCTATTCCAGGCTCCCGGGAACATCAGTCTCGATACTTGATACCAGCACTCCTTCCTGGGGAGCGTGGGTGGGTTTCCAGAACTCTCAGTATACTTAGAGTAGCTACTCCAATCTATCAAAAATGGTAGTTGAGGGCGCCTGGGTGGCTCAGTCAGTTAATCGTCTGCCTTAGACTCAGGTCATGATCCCAGGGTCCTGGGATTGAGCCCCACCTCGTCTTCGGGCTCCCTGCTGAGCAGGGAGCCTGCTTCTCTCCCTCCCTCTGCCTGCTGCTCCCCCTGCTCGTGCTCTTTCTGTCAAATAAATAAATAAAATCTTTAGAAAAAAGTGGTAGTTGAGGAGGAATGCACTCTGGCAAAATGGATGTGAAAATGGAGAGGAATTGTGGCCAGAGGTTACAGCTAGAAACTCTAACACCCTTCTTCCTTCTTTGATTCTGCCTGTGGTCCTCAAGACAACCGATATGGCTGCCTGGGATGTATGGAATGCCTGGAGAGAGGAGGAAAGTTCCAGGTTTTCTTTGTTTTTGTCTCCTATCTGGATGCAAAATGTGTGATGTCTACACAGTCACAGAATAAGAACAGGTGCAGGATTCTTAATTTTCTTACCCCGCATCTCCTACTTTTGACAGCACTTTCCACCCCCCTGGGGGGACGTTGGGGTATGATTTTGCTTGTTCTCGGCTCACATTTTCACTGTGGCCCAATTCCTCCACACCTACGTGTGGTCCAGGCTCCCTCCTAGTCATGCAAGCTTTGTTTTGCCAAGTGTCATTTAAATCCTTGACTTTATTGCTTAAATCTTAGGGTTAGATGTATCCATGGGTATTAGATGGGCTGCAAGGAACCACGGAATTAAGGCAACAGTGGCCTAAGTAGGAAAGAGGGGTGTTTCTTCTTTCATGTACAAAGAATCCAGAGGTATTTAAGACGGGGCTAGCTGGATGGCTTCATGAAGTCTTTGGGCACCCATTTTTCAGTGAGGTGTTGGTAAATTGGCTCTCTCCAAAAAAACAAAAACAAAAACACCAAAACCCCCAAGACAACACAAAACCTCTGGTTTCCATGGTGAGCCTGCTGTAGCAAGGTTCGTTGAGCACATACTGTGTAACAGATACAGATCTTGCTATCGCAGCGCTGACAATCTAGTGGATGGGATAAATATTAAATATTCACACCAATAAATATTTAATGACATGATGTGGTTAAATGCTATTAAGCAGAACAGTGCTCGGACAGAGTTCCCCCAGCAGACTGAATTTATAACAGGCATTGTCAGGAAGTCTCTTTGAGGAAATTTGCCCAGTTTATCTTTAGGAGTGGGGAGGGACTTCACAAAAATTCTCAGCTGTTCCAATGGGCAAGGGAAATAGACTTGCTACAGGCTTGGCCGGAGGACAGCTGGCTTGGGGGGTGGTTGGAGTGTCATTGCTGAGGCTGGCTAGACTGCCCTGTCACCCTGCAAGCAGGAAATGACTAACTTCTTCTTTAACAGTGAAGGGAATAGGGAGGAGGGAAAGGGGCACAGCAGGATGCCTCAGGTGACAAAGGAACTGGTTAGATATTAGGGATTTCCAAACAAATCTGAACCCTTGGACAGACCAGGGCAAGGACCCCAGAGTCAGTGATCTACACATATGGGTGCTGGGGGGGGTATTTATTTTTAACAATGAGGAGTTAGAGTTGCACTGTCCAGTACAATAGCCCCTAGCCGCAGGCGGCAATATAAATTAAAATTAAGTTGAATTAAAAACAAATAAAAATTTTAGTTCCTCAGTTACACTATCCACATTGCAAGGTCTCAATAACCACATGTATCGGATGGTGCAGATATAGAACATTTCCATTACCACAGAGACTTCTATTGGACAGCACTGGTCTAAGGCACGGGTTTTGGAATTGGGTAGACCCGAGTTGGCACCATGCATGGCTGTGTTACCTCAGGTGAGTCACTTGCCCTTTCTGAGCATCACTTTTATCCTATGTACACAAGCAAAATGACCACTACCTGATACAGTAGGTGGGAGCTCATGAAAGAAGGGGAAAGGGGCTCTGGCCCCAAGGAGAGAGCAACAGGAAAGTGGGGTGATTGGAAACAGAGCCAGGCAACCTGGCTTGGAGAACAGCTCCACCTTTTGCTACCCATGTGACCCTGGGCAAGTCACTTACCCTCTGAGCCTCTCCTGCTTTGTCAGGAAAGTGGGGGTGGATTCTCCTTTCCACAGGGGGTTCAGTGAAGATGATATGACCCATGAATCACCTAAGGTATGTAGTATAGGGGCTGACACAGAGACAGCCCTTGGCAGACAACATTTGAACTCAGGTCTGCTCTTATTACTGCTAATCATCATGATGTGATAGGTGGCTTTGTGTTGGTCACAAAAGCACTGAAGTTCCTCAGATGTTAGATGCATCCACGCCAGAGCTTCATCCATACTCCTTTCCCCTCAGCCTGCCATCTACCAGGATTCTCCAACAGCTCAAAATCAAGTGGTCAATCTTATTTACAAATGGGCCATGGACTTCTGGGCCTTGTAACCACCTCCCCCACTTCTCTGTTCCAGTTTTTTTTTTTCTTTTTTGAAAAGGAGCAAAAATAAGCGGCATGTGTAGAAGACATTTTGGGGTGTCTGTCCAGCTTACAAGGCAAAACCTCTCCTGTTTTCTGGGCGACGAAACAGACAGGGCTAAGCCCCTTGACCTCTGCTTGTACGAATCCTCCTGGACCCCAACCCAGCCACAGGAATGGGACCACGGTTGATACCTGACATGAGTGAGCCAATCAGATGCCTTCTCCAGGGGTTTCAGGGACAAGGCGAAGGGATTCTGTGGACTTAGAAGTTATGGGGTTGTGTCTCTTCCCATGTGGATGGAGAAACACTGAGCACCCACATGCAGAGAGAGACAGAGAGAGAACTGTGGAATCCCATGTACCCAGAGAGGAGGGTGACAAGGGGTGAGGGCTGGGGGCCGAGAGGGGCAGCAAGCTCCTGCCCTGCCCTGGTTCCAGCAGCGTTCCTGTTTTCTGGTCACGCACTGCCTTCAGTGGGAGCTTGAAAAAAATGGCCACAGATTCTTTCCTTTTCATGAAGAGGTGGTGTCCATTTCCCACCCCTCAAATCTGGGCTGGCCACGTGGCTGGCTTTGGCCAGAAGAATGTGGCAGAAATGATGATGTGCTGTTCTTTTTTTAAGATTTCTTTTATCTGAGAGACAGAGCACGAGTGTAGGGAGAGGCAGAGGGAGAGGGAGAAGCAGACTCCCTGCTGAGCAGGGACCCCCCCCCCACCAACATGGGGCTTGATCCCAGGACCCCGGGATCATGACCTGAGCTGAAGGCAGCTGCTCAATCAACTGAGCCACCCAGGTGCCCCAGAAATGATGATGTGCCATTCTTAACACTGGCCCTAAAAGGCATTGCCCCTCTGCTCTCACTCCTGGAATCCTGCCTCTGTCATGTGAACAAGCTTGGGTCGGCCTGCTACAGAATGATAGATGATGTGGAGGACAGGTTAATTGTTCCAGACAACTGTCTTAGTCCAGACAGTCCCTGGGTAACTGCCAACTCATCACAGGTGCATGAGTGGGCCCAGCAGAGACCAGAAGAATGGCCCAGCTGAGCCCAGCCCAAACTGAAAACCCTGCAGAATTGTAAGCTAAATCCATGGCTGTCTTTTCAAGCCATTAAATTTGGTGGGGGATAGTTTGTTACACAGAGGGTGCTAACTGATACACCCTTGGAGTTTTGGAAGTCTTCCTGGATCCTTGTATTAAATTCCTCCTTTTGTTTTTATCGGCCCACTTAAGTGAGTATCCTTTGCTCTCAGCCCGCAAATTTTATGAAATATGGACTGCTTGTGTAGGTGGTTTCCAGGGATTTGGTGAGCTGGGCAGATGGGACACTGGCAGCTGGCAAGAGGGAGAGAAAGGCAGTCTCTGGGACTCTCTGCAAGATGAGAACATCCCAAAGACAAATGATCAGGAAGGAGGAGGTCTCATCTGGAGCCCCCAGGAACTTCATCTGGTCCCAGCCCCAGGATTCTCTTGCTGCCCTTCCCAGCATTACCTCTGAGGCTGACAGACAAGTGCCCACTTCAGCAGCATATCTGTATTCTTTGTCTGTTAGTCCTATAATGAGAGAGAGAGAGAGAGTGAAATCGTCATCATCATCATCACCATCATCATCATCATAATGTGGCTGACATTTTTTGGAGGTTTACCATTGCCAGGTACTATTTGCAGTGCTTTACTCCTGCTGTGTCATGTAATCTGCACACTTTCCCTTTGAGGTAGGAATTACCATTTATCCTTGTTTTACGGATAGGGTAGGAGGTTAGTTAGCCTGGCTTCAAGGCCCAGGGCCTTAACTGCAAACAGCAGGGATCTCTCTTGGCCCTTGTTGGGTGTGGTGGATGTGTGTGGGGCTTCCCCTCAGCCCATACCCCTCTTTCCCAACGACTGCTCCTCCCCACTGGGAGGGGCAAGACAGCCACGCCTGTCCTCATGACCTCATCTCCAAGGTTGCCATGACTCGAAGAGGCTGGTTCCTCCTGGCTGCCGTCAGCGTCCGTCCGTCATCAAACGTCTTGGCCAAAATTGTGGGAGGAGAGGAAGTGACCCCTCCTGCCTGCTCATGGAGGCAGGGACTGGATGTCTCATCCCTCCCCTCTAAGAACATGATTTTGGATTTGAATCTGGGCTTGGTTCAGGGTCAGCCATTTGTCAGCTGTGTCGCTGGGCAAGGTGAGTTTCTCTGGTTTACTCACTTGGAAAATGAGGACAAGAACATACCCATCCCTTGGAGTAGCTGTGACTTGAAGGCTCTTGGCACTTCCTGAGGGCCCAGGAAGTTGCAGCTGCTACAGCGACGAGGCTGATGCAGGGGATTCAGGCAGTAGCCTGGCCCTCCCTCACCCATGGAAGGTTCCACATGGGACTCAGGGACTGGAGACTTGGCCCCAGCCTCTCCCAGTTGATCCACAAGGCCTTTGCAAACCATGTCAGCTTGCAGTACATAAGCTATGAAGGCTTGTGTTGTTATGGCAGGAAAAGAGGCAGTTGAGGTTAGGGGCGAGAACTAGGAATGAGGCAGGGTTCTGGGTTCGAATTCCTCTCTAGCTGTGGGGTCTGGGGCTAGTCACTTCTCTCTGAGCCGTAGTTCCCTCTTTGACAAAAACAAGATCTTCTTTCTTATCCACCACCGCCCCTCCCCCTTCCCCCCAACCCCTGCAGAGCTCTTGTGGACATTAAATAGAATAATGTTTAGCAAGCACGTAATAGGCGCTCAATACGTGGTAAGATATTATAGTATTACGGTAATAGCTAATACATCTAGGAATGAAATGCAAGTCGGATATAAGTCAGATCCCGTCCCTCCTCTGCTCTAAACCCTCCATGGCTCTCATGTCACTCAGAACAAAAGCCAAGTCCTTATATGGCCCGCAAGACCTTACACTTTCTGTCCACCCCCACCCCCACCCCCATTCCCTCCCTGATCTCATGCCGTATTTCTCTTTCCCTTCCTCACACCACTCCAGCCACACTGGCCTCCTTGCTATTGCTTGAACTCACCAGGGAAGTCCTACCTCAGGGCCTTTTGCCCTGGCTATTTTTCCTGCTGGGTATGCCCTTCTGCCAGACATCCACTGACATCCATCCCTCCTTTGCTCAGTGTCTTAGCTCAGATGTCACTTTCTTGGGGAGGCCTTCACTGACTTAAGCTGTGCCCCACCCCAACCCTGGATTTACTTCTCAGCCTTACTCCACTGCTTAGCACTCACCATTATCCAACATGCTGGATATCCAACATCCAAAATCTATATTTTACTTGGTCATCACGTGAATTGCTGGTGTCTCTGACTAGGATGCAAGATCCTGAGGTCCAGGACTCCGGCTGCTATTCCCAGGGCTTCCCCAGCGCCGGCAGAGTGTGCACTGGATGGATATGTGTAGAAGGACTGAATACAGCACTGACCACATGCCAGGCACAGGTGTAGATGCTTGAGAAATAGTAACTTGTTTCATCCTCACAGCAGCCCCAAGGATGGCATTTTGCAGATGGGCAAACTGAGGCACAGACAGTGGGAGCAACTTGCCTATGGCCTCACTGTGGGTAAGGAATAGAGCCGGGATTCGAACCTAGGCAGACGAGCTCCGGAATCCTTTTCTGTCTCTTTGTTCCCTGGTTAACTTTGCGTGCATGCGTCAAGGGTAGGTATCCTCCTCTCTGAGTCTAAAGCCTCTTGGATGAGGCTGCTGGTGGGGTTTCTGTCTTGCTGCAGAGTGAGCTGTGTCTTGTAGGGGCTGAGTGGATGTCAGGCAGTGGACAGAGGTGAAGGGCAGCACATACCTTATGCTCTGGATGATGGCAAAGCTATGCCTCCTATCAGCACCACGGCCCCTATACTTCCAGCGACGAGGAGGCCGATAGCAGCTTCTCCTGACACAGTGAGAATGGGGTCTGGCTCAATGGGCTCAGCGTCTGTGGGATCCACGTTGTCTTCTGGGGACCAAGAAGGGGCGAGACTGGAGAAGCCATCCTCCCTCCACACTGCCGCCTCCCACCATTTCACCTCCTGAACGTGTCTTTAGTCTACTGCCTCCTCCCCATCCTCTGGCCTCCACCCCAGCCTCCTCCTGGAGGCCAGCCTCAGCTCTCTCTCTCTCTCTCTCTCTCTCTCTCCCTACCTTGTTAACTTAGTTCCACTGGACTCTACTCAATTTCTGGGCTCACCTCTCTCTTCTACTTCCTGGCCTTTGTACCCCCTAGAATGCTATTTATGCCATTTTCTTCCCCTTGGCCTGGATAATTCCTATGTATCCTAGTACCAGCTCAGATGTCCCCTCCTCCAGGAAGCCCTCCCTGACCCGCTTGCTGGGTCAGGTGGCCCCTTGGCTCCCCCACCCCAGTCTTGCCCACTCTGGTCATTACTGTTTGTGGATGGGTCAGTCCCCCACCGGTCTGTCCCCCACTCAAACATTAGTGTGTGGGGACAGGGCCAGGGCTGTCTCCAGAATGTCCCCAGCACCACCCAGCACAGGCTGGTCATGTAGTAGGCAGCCAACAAACATTTCCAGAATAGTTGATGGACGAATAAAGGGGGAACTGAAAGTCATTCTCAATGAACATATCAGAGTCACCTGCTGCTACAGGATTTAAACTTTTTTCTCCCAGTGACTCACCCCCAAACCAAATCCTGAAGCTCCTTCTAAAGCCTGGCTGGGAAGAAATGGCAGCTCTCTGGGGCCCAGCCAAGCCAGACTTTCCATCACCCTTGCCTTTTCCATGCTCTGGACCTTTGCTCATGTGTTCCCTGCTGCCCAAGTCCCTCCCCTACTTCTCTACTGGCCAGGTCCTCTGTACCATTCTAGCTCATTCCGGGCCTCTCCTCCTCCATGCATAAATACACGAAAAATAATATTCATGAGGATAGCTGCTATTTAAAGGACCTGCTTTCTTTCTTCTTCTTTTTTTTCAGTAGGCTTCACACCCATCGTTGGGCTTGAGTTCACGACCCCAAGATCAAGAGTCTTATGCTCCACCGACAGAACTAGCCAGGTGCCCTTTAAGCACCTGCTTTCCTACAGGTGTTCTGCTAGCCTCATTCATGTATTATTTCTGCTCCTTATGACAATCTTCCAGAGGTATACACAGTCACACCCATTATGCTCAGGAAGAAACAGAGGCTCAGAGAAGGGATGTCACTTATCTTAAGTCACCTGGCCAGGAAGGCACAAGGGCGGGAATTGAATCCAGGTTTAACCAGCTCCCAGACCACTTTCCTGATCGCAACAGGCTGTTCTTGTTACTGCCCCTTGGGGCTCCACACGTGCCACCGCATACAGTAATAGTCACAAGATTCATAATAATATGGATAATGGTAATTGCAGCCACGATACTAGCTCATGCTTTCTGAGCTCTCACTAGTGTCCAGTAGCACTGGGCACTATTATTTTAAGCTGTTCTCCTCCTTATCTCATTGAATGCTCACAACTATACTTTGGGGTGGGCGCTATTATTTTCCCAATTTACAGATGAGGACACCGAGGCACAGAGAAGTCAAGGCAGTGGTCTAAAGTCACACAGCTAGGAAGTGGTGAAGCCAAAATTCAAATTCCAAAGCCTGTGCTCAGAACCACTCATTATCACCTGCCTTTTTTTTTTTTTTTTTTTTTTTTTTTTTTTTTTGCCAGTATGTGCTGAGACCTAGAGAGGTTAAGTTCACATAGCCAGCAAATAGTTGGAGCTGGGATCCAGATCGCTGGCTCCAGATCCTGAGCTGAGCTTTTGTTTGAGCTCATCTCTGTCAGCTGCAGCCTCTGTAAAATGGGCTAATAATCCCCACTCTGCCAGGCAGATGGAAGGACGGGATGACATCTTGGCTGGAGAGGGGCTCAGAGTGGACTGCTCTGTAGGTGGCTCAATGCAACCAAGGATGCAGAAGTCTGGGGTGGGGGCGGGGGACTCACGTGGCAGCGAGAGGGTCACAGGATAGGAGGGATACTGTCCCTGGCTGTTCTTGGCTGTGCACACGTAGGTGCCCAGATGTTCCAGGGACAACCTCCGGATGATCAGCATAGCCCCAATCTTGTAGGGCTCCCCGTTGAAGGTCCAGTGCAGCACAGGTTTGGGGGTGATAGAAGAAGCCAGGCACTCCAGGATCACTGAGTAGTTGAGGTCACTCTGGATAACGCCCTCGAAGACATAGGGGAGTGTCAGCAGCATCACTCCGTTGGAGCTGGCTGTGCAAACAGAGAGCAAGGCCACATGGATGGAGACCCCTCAAAGAGGCTGAGCACTTCTTTTGTCCAACACAGGGACATTCATTCATTCATCAACAAATGTGTTTGGAGTTCCTGATTGGTGCCCAGTGCTGCTCCAGACATGGGGCGTGGCAGAGCTGTTGGTGCCCCCACCCCAGCCCCTCACCCTCACCCTCACCACTTCCAACTGCCACATTGCACCTGTTGCCTGGGCACTTTCTGCGGCTGCCAGAGCCTGCTCTGGCCAAGGAGGAAGCAGGGCAGAGAATTGGGAGATGGGCACAGCCAGGGCACTATGCAGTGACTGGCATGGGCTGGTATATAAATATCCCAGCTGCCCAGCCCTCAGCTGGCCCAGGGTGAGGCAGAAGAGCTGGGAGGAGTGGCTAGATTCTGGATTAGTTTGAAAGCAGAGCCCACAGGATTTGCTGATGGATTGGAGAGAAAGAGAGGAGTCAAGAGGGGGTCTCCAAAGGCTCGGGACCTGCGCCTGGCTGCTGGGAACCCTCTTTACAGAGGTGGGGCATCCATACTAGTTCTCTTTCCAGGTTAAAGACTTGAGGTCCAGGGGTTCTTAGGCTCAGGCTTCATGGTCAGAGAGAGGCACAGCGAGTATTTGAAGCTGGAAGTCTGATGTCATGGTGAGTACCTGGAGCCTCCACACTGAGCTGATTTCCAATTTCAGTGCAATATGATAGTGAAAAGAACTTTAGCTCAAACCAATAACTCGCGGAAGGCTTCCTGGAGGAGGTGGTGTCTCAGCTAAGCTTGGCAGGAGGAGAAAGAGCCCACCAGGTGTAGAAACAAGAATCAATGTACTATCCACTTGGATCTGGCTCTTACTAGGAGCCAAACGCCGTTCCAAACACATGTTAACTCATGGCCGGTTATGAGTGAGTGAAACCCATCCATGCTTGGGCGAAATCATTTAGAAAGTTGTAATCGGGGCGCCTGGGTGGCTCAGTCTTTAAGCGTCTGCCTTCGGCTCAGGTCATCGTCCTAGGGTCCTGGGATTGAGCCCCGCATGGGGCTCCCTGCTCCGCGGGAAGCCTGCTTCTCCCTCTCCCACTCCCCCTGCTTGTGTTCCCTCTCTCTCTGTGTCTCTGTCAAATAAATAAATAAACTCTTAAAAAAAAAGTGGTAATCAGCATTTGAAATGTGACATGAACTATAATATGATAGAAACTATCAGAATGCACTGCTTGTAGCAATAACTGTTATTTTATGGCACGTGTCTTACGCGTGCGTGTGTGTGTACACGTACACACCAGGTCATGATGTGAAGTTCATTTCTCACTGTGGGTCACGATGGAAAAGCTTGAAAAACACCAGATTTACTCCCTGAAATCCTCAACACAACCCTATGTGGTAGGTTCTACCGTGACTCCATTTTACAGATGAAGACACTGAAGTACACAGATGGGAAGTACCTTTGCAAAGACACAAGGCTAGTCACTGGTGGGGCAGCCACGTCTTTGCAAGGCTGTCCTGGTTTCAGAGGCTGCACAAGCTCTAGGCTGAGCATGGCACGGGCACGGGAGGTGGGGGAGCTCTCCCCACCTTTGGTACCCTGAAGATGGTGCTGGGCTAGAGAGGCCGTGGGAAAGGGGATAAGCTCCAGGACCAAAGAGAGTCCTGTAGAATCCCAGCTTGGCCTTTTGCTTCTAGGTGACCACAGGCTATTGACATCACCTCTCGGTCTTAGCTCCTCACCTGTGCAATGGTTTTGGTGCTCGGAGCATCTGCTTTCTCCGGTCGTTGTGAAATCCCCTGTGTTTGGTATGTTTCGAGGGCTCAGTAAGTTGCAGCCAGTCCTTCCTGCTTTTTGGTGTTTACTCCAGCTGGCCTCTCTAAGAGAGCACTTTCTCCCACTCTTCACGGGGCAAACTCCTGATCGGCTTTACAGGTCCCAGCTCGGATGGCCCCTCCTCTGGGGAGCCCTACCTGTCTCCTAGGCTAGGTTCTTGCATGTCCCTGCCCACGAGCCCAGCCCCACCCAGGACAGAGAAGGCACTAAAAAAAGATTTGATGCATATGTAAGAATCAGCGTCGGTAAGTGTTTTGTTGAGCGGAAATCTCAGGCCCCACATGGTCAGCCCTGCCGACCACCAGCTCTACCTGCCTTCCCAAGTTACACTGAAAAGCCAACAGCCTCGCGTGGCCTGCACCCCCTACATGGTTCTGTGCACAATTTCTTGTGCTCTCCAGATCTCTCTTGCCCCTCCAGCCTTGCTGCTCTCTCTGCCTGAGAACTCGGTCCCTCTCAGCCCCACTCACCCTGGCCAAGTATCTGCTCTGTCGCACTCCTGCGTCCTTTGCTGGTTTCCAGCACTGTGTCTTGAGCTGTTGCATTTCCAATGATCAGGCTGCTTTGGGTGTCCAGTGTCTCCTGGCCGATGTGGTTGGGCCCTGGGAAGCCCTCAGGGGAGAAGATCATGGTTTCTGGCCGGGCCTTGTGCCCTTGGAACCAAGAAGTGGAGAGAACACCATTCAGGCTTCCGGGGACAGGCAGGCGGGCACTGGCTCCTTCGGTCAAGGGGTCTGGAGACGCGGGGGCGGGCAGCTCCAAGGAGGCAGAACAGGTGCAGGATGCGATCAGGATGCCTTGGAGGGTGTGGGAAGGGAGAGGAGAGAGCAGAGGGAGCAAATGGGACCAAAGGCGAGATGATGCCCCAGCAAATAAACCTTCCTGAGCTTGCGAGGAGTGTGGCACATCAAGAGTTGATAGCAGTGATAATGACAGAAATAGTGTAGGGGGCGCGCCTGGATAGCTCGGTTGGTTAAGTGTCTGACTCCTGATTTCTGCTCAGGTCATGATCTCGGGGTCCTGGGCTCGAGGTCCATACTCAGCGGGAAGTCTGCTTGAGGATTCTCTCTCTCTCCCTCTTCCTTTGCCCCTCCCCCTGCTTGCTCACTCTCTTTCTCTCCCTCTAAAATAAATAAATCTTAAAAAAAAAGAAATAAAAGGGAACATTCACTGAGCACCTTCTACAAGCCAGACACTTTTTAAGCAATGAACATATATTATCTTACTTACTCCTTCATCGACCCCACCAAGCACACATTATTCAGGGTATCCTACAGATCCATTCTCTGACCTCTGCCCTGCTCTGCTTCCTGAGAGGCTGACTTCTTTGAGCTGCATCGTTAGGTGCCCATGTCTTTTGCTTTGGGTTGGCTTCTGCCAATGGGAGTGACCTTGAGTAGCTGGTCCCACAGCTCCCTCCCTGCTCCATCAACGTGGGTCGGCTCTGTCCCTCTAATAAGGCTGCTGTTGGTGTCCCTCTCCATACACCACTGTCTTTGGGTTTTGGGGGTCTGCTCTTCCTCTTACGGCTTCTAGCAGAGAGGAAGTAACAGCTTTCTGCTCTGGCTAGTCCCTGGGTGTTGCACAATCTCGGGTGGGTTTACCTATGTCCTGCCTACACCTCTGCAAATAGTCCCTATATTAACCCCCCGTCATTACTCCTTTTGAGTAGACCATTTTCTACCTCAACCCTGAGTGACACAATTATTATACCCCCAGGAGGACTGAGGAAATGGAAGCTCAGAGAATTGAAGACCATTGTCCAGGATGTCATAGGTGATAAACAGCAGGGCTGTGAGCCACACCCAGGCAGGCAAAATTCTGTCAGTAAAGTAGACTGGTGAGTGTGCCCCACCATCCCCAGTTGCTCTCACTTCCTTTAATTAAATTTCCATGTGGCTTAGTGCTTGGAGTGAAATCCTCAGGGTCTGACTCCAGACCCTATGCACTTACCCACCCCACTCTTCTGCCTCCCATTGGATTGATGGCTGTGGCAGCAAGAACACAAGGTCCAGCCATAAAAGACTGAAACATCTGAGGGGAAAATGTAAAGAACTTCAGCCAAGTGGAAAAAAACAAATACCACCCACCAACTCAGAAGAACAATGACATACCAGGAAAATGATTTGCAACAGATCTCACAGACCAAGAGCTCATTTTGCTAATATGTAAAAAGCTCTGAGATATCAATAAAAAAAATATCAGCAACCTAACAGAAACATATACAAAGGATGTGGGTAGCCCATTCATAGAAAAGAAAAGAAAATAGAAATGTCAAATGTTCAGCTGTGCTCATGGTAAGAGAAATGCAAATTATTATTATTATTTTTAAAGACTATATTTTTATTTGACAGAGAGAGAGAGAGAGAGAGCACAAGCAGGCGGAGCAGCAGACAGAGAGAAACAGACTCCCCGCTGAGTAGGGAGCCCGATACAGGACTCGATCCCAGGACCCTGAGATCATGACCTGAGCCGAAGTCAGACACTTAACCGACTGAACCACCCGGGTGCCCTCCATATCCTCTGACCCTGAAATTAAACGTCAGGGAATGCGTTCTACAGATACACTTTCTCAATATAAAATGACTAACGGGCAGGGTCATTTGCCACACCTTAGTTATAATGGCTAAAGATTGGAAATATCCAAGTGCCCGTCCACCGGGAACCAATTTAATAAATTATGGTCCGTTCACACAGTGGAATGATACACTTGTACAAAAGGATGAGGAAGAACTCTGTCCAGAATGGCATGAACTGAGAGGTAAAGATCTCCATAGTATGTAGTTAAGTTACGAATGCATGCTGCTGGATAGTTCTTATGGTATGCTACCTTTGGTGTAAAAATGGGAGAAAAGTAAATATATATTTGCATTTCTTATAAACACACAAAGAAACCCTGGAAGGATACACAAAAACAGTGGTTCTCTGTGTGTGATGGCGGGGAGGGAAGCCTCAGAACTGGATGGGTGGTGAGGACAGAGACTTCACTCAAGGTCTTTTCTGTATCTTTGAGATTTAAACCGTGGGAATATACAACCCATTCAAAAATTAAGTAAAATTTGAATAAAGGAAGTAAGAGAGCATAAATGTTCTCAATAGTCTTTCACACACACATGCGCGCGCACACACACACACAGTGCACATACACCAGAATGTAAGATCCAGAATTGGACTGCCAGTGTGCAAGTCCCAAAACTTATTAGCTCTGGTGACTTTGGGAAAATTACTTATCCTCTCCAAGCATCAGTTTCTTTATCTATAAAATGGGAATGATGATGCCTCCAGTGATTTTTCAACTGGGGATGATTTGCTCCCCTCAGGGGACATTGGTAACGTCTAGAAGTTTTTCTGGTTGTCATGATGTGGGGTGGGGGAGGTGCTACTGGCATCCAATGGGTAGAGGCCAAGGAGACTGATCAGCCTCCTACCATGCTCATGACAGCCCCAGCAACAAGGAAGCATTGGACCCCAAATATGAGTAGTGCCGATGTTGAGAAGCCCTGATCTAATGCTTGTAAAGGGCGCTTAGAACAATGTGCCAACAAGGTGAACGCCAAATCAATGCTTGACATTATAATTATCATCACTATTACCATTCTTGCTTCTGTAATTGCGAGTCCTTGGGGTGCTGTAAATATGTCTTTTAAAGATTAAAAACAAAAGCAATACACTAAGTGGTTACATTCTAAGGATCAGAAATTCCCACTTACAGAACAAACGTGAAAACATCAGCTCTCTCCTGGAATGAGAAGTGGTAGCGAATGACTCCCAGGGCAGCAGCATCAGATACAGACAGTGCTGGGCTCTGGAACCCGGGGTGACAGGTCTCAGAAGGGCAGCTTCCGGGGCAGGGGGTCAGCTGACACCCCCTGCTGGCTGCGTGCCAGGGACTATGCCAGATTCTCCCAACCACGACCTCACTGGTCCCCTCTACAACTCTGAGATCAGCACTAGTCTGTTTTATAGGCAGGGAAACTGGGGCACAGCGAGCTTGAGTCTCAGAGCCAAGGTCAAAAATGGAGAGCTGGGAGTTGTCCCATTACAGGGCCTTCTGGGTGGGTGAGGGGGGCTCACTGAGTCTTTTATCTTCGAGTCGGCAGCTGGTGTGATTTTTCTTTTTAAAAAGATCTATGTATTTATTTGAGAGAGAGTTGGGGGGGGTGAGGCAGAGGGAGAGAGAGTCTCAAGTGGCCTCCCTGCTGAGCATGGAGCCCCACATGGGGCTCGATCTCATGACCCTGAGATCATGACCTGAGCCAAAATCAAGAGTCACTTAACCGACTGAGCCACCCAGGTGCCCCTGGTGTGACTTTCCTGTTCCCCTGCTCATAAGCCTCCTGTGGCTCCCCAGTGCTCTCAGGACACAGCGCAGATCCCCTTGCCTGGCACCCTCCCACAACTCCACGCTCCTCTCTCCACTCCTCCCTCATTGTCTGCATCAGGCAGACCGAACTCTGTGCAGCTGCCCTGGCCTCCGGGCCTTTGCACATGTGGGTCCCCCTCCCTAGAATGCTGTTCCCTCTAACTCTTCATCTAGCTGTGATTCCAGTTTCAGCTCCGGCACCCCCCTTCTGAAGCCTTCCCTGACCCTCAGGGAGGCTTGGTGATAGACACTACACTTGTGTCCGGGCAGGGACCTCAGGAGATGGAGTGATGGAAGCTCTAGCCACAGAGTGATGGGAATAAACAGGACCTGCTCAGGGTGTTGCTTTTCTATCTTGACGGAAAAGAAAAATTTGCATTCTTCCCCTTTTATGAAACAAAGGGCACAGGGATGCAATTTGCATGAGCGACGCCACCTTTCTCTGAGCTCTTACTTTGATTTTAACGGCTTTGAAAAGGGCCTTCCCTGGCCAGCACCTCCCCAGCTTCAGACCTCAGCCCTCTTCTCTGGGTCCCCCACATTCCTGCCCTACCCACTGGGGGATGGGTCTGTCTTCTCTCTGGACTGTGAGCCCCAAGAGAGCAGGGCTGGGGCTGTCTTGGTCACCGCTCTGTCCCCAGCACCACCCCGCACAAGCTGGGTCCCCAGCAGGTGCTCAGGAGTGTTTGTTGAATCAGTGATTGAAGTAGAAGATCTCAGGTCACCCAATCTGAATTCGGGGATGGAGTTCTGACTCTGACACCATCGCAGGTGCCTGGTGATTCAACGAGTGTCCCCAAGGCACCTTAAGAAGACCTCACGTCTCGGCGACACTTCCTCCAGCTGCTGTGGAGTCACAGTTTCACTTGGAGACTTTGAGGCCACTAGACCCGGGTTCCTAACCCTGACTCTGCCACTTATTATTTCTGGTGTCCAAGTGAGGGATGGAGTGGAAAGGGCCCGTGGGGCAGAGGGAATAGAGGCTGGAGTGGAAATGACCCACGCCTCTAGTGTTCCATGTGATGACAAATGTGTCCTCATGTTTCCCATGAGGCAGTGGTGGATGCCTCGGCAGGGAGCCGGCTGGAGGCTGTCTGGCAAAGCCCCTCATGGGACAGGGCTCCCAAGGGCAGACCTTGGCAGAAAGAGGCTGGAGGGAGCCGGGAGATGCTGGTGAGCCTCTAGGGGGGCCCAGTTCATGCAGCCACAACAACATACTCTGCAGTGAAGAGGGTCCTCAAAGTGTCCCCCAACCAGACGGATGCAGCAATGGTGCCTCAACCACACAGAAGGGCTTGACTCCACCTTACAAGTAAAATAGCCAAGTAGAAACTTTCCTGCCCCCTTCCTGGACTTCCTCCCCTCTGCCTGTGGCCCTGAGAGGGCCACAGACCACATCTCTGGGTGGGGAGGAAGGACACAAAGAGAAACAGGCCTAGAATCTTACTACAGTCGGACACAGGCCTCAGCTGGGGATGAGGCAAAGCTTTAAACAGGGTGGAGTTTGGGGTTTTGAAACTACATGGAACCTGACCTTTTAAGACCTGGAAAAGGAGGCAATTCATTTACCTTCTGAGAGGTGGATGTGTGTCGTCTTTGGCAAGTGCGGTCTTGGTGGCCAGACCACCTGGGTTCAAATTCTCCCTCTGCCATTTCTAAGCTGTGTGGCCTGGGGGGAGGCACATAATCTCTCTGTGCCTCAGTTTCCTCCACTATGAAGTGGGGATCATATAGCCCTTACCTCATAGAGTTAAGAATTAAATGTTACTACATGAAAGCTCTTAGAACAGCCTGGCATGTAGAAGAAGTCAGTTATATGACCTCTTGATATTATGACTTGTTATTTTATAATCACCATTATTATTATTTAAGATTTTATTTATTTGAGAGAGAGAGAGAGAGAGAGAGAGAGCACGAGCAGGGGGAGGGGCAGAGGGAGAGGGAGAGGGAGAAGGAGAATCTCAAGCAGACTCCCCACTGAGCAGGGAGCCCGTCCCAGGGCTCCATCCTAGGACGCCGGGATCATGACCCAAGCTGAAGGCAGATGCTTAACTGACTGAGCCACCCAGGTGCCCCTATTATTATTATTTTTAAAAAGATGTATTTATTTATTTGAGAGAGAGAGTGCATGCTAGTGGAGGGAGGGGCAGAGAGAGAGAAAGAATCCTCAAGCAGACTCTGCGATGAGAGTGGTGCCCCAGGCGGGGCTCCATCCCACGACCCATGAAATTGTGACCTGCTCTAAAACCAAGAGTCCCACACTCAACCAACTGAGCCAGCCAGGTGCCCCTATCATATTATTATTATTTAAAAATTATTATTAGATGTAGATAGCTGGGGTGAGCCAGGGAGCTCGGTGAAAAAGGGCGGGGCGGGGGTGGTCCTGGTCCTGAATTCTGATTCTACCCTCACCAGCCAGCGATCTTGGACAGGTGACTCTGTCCCTCTCTGAGCCTCTCTTCCTTGGTAAAAAGGGTCAACAGCACGGCCTCTTGGGGGGACTTCAAGAGCTCTTGTGCATCTCTCAACTGACTAGAGGCAGAGCTCTGAGAGGGGCAACTCTGACTTGGATAGAGACTCTCCCTGGGGGTGTCTTCTCCCTGTCCCCAACCTGTGGGTGAAGCCAATGTTCCTTACGCACCTGTTAGAAGTAGCCTCTTCCAGGCAGGGCTGTGGCCGGGTCCGGCGTCCAGAGGACACCTCATGCCTCGTTCTGTCCAGGCGCTGCGCAGGGGAGGTCGCCCTGTCAGGAGCGGGGCCTCCTAGACCTCAAAGTCAAGGACGCAGCTTTGGCCCCGCCCCCCGTCCTGGCCACACCCCCGCTTCCCTGCCTGGCTCCTGCTCTTGGCTGGGAATTCACCTCCCGGACCAGCACTCTTCTCTAGCACCGGTTTTATGGTAGTGGTGGGTGGGGAGCACGCAGGGGCGGGATTCTGGGAGAAGGGGTTTTAGGGTTTCGCTCGTTCCCTCTTTGCCCCCGCCCCCTTCCAGCCCTCCTGGCCTGGAGAATGATGAAGATGGGAGGGTGGGGCGGAATTGTCCTGCTTCCGTCACTTCACATCAGAGGAGAGGAATGGCCAAAGATCATCAGGTAGGAGGTGGCTGGGGCCTCGCTTGCCTCCTGACTTGGCTCCAGACTCCGTGACTATCAGCTCTGAGACTCCACGTCTCTCCTCTGTAAAATGGGGATGTTGATAATAGTGCCTGCCTCAGAGTCAGAGGGGCCCATGGACATCAAGATGCCCAGCAGAGTGCCTGGCATAGAGCAGGTGCTCGATGAATGGCAGTAGTTATTAAAATAATGCGAAGTATTGTTATAGGTATCCGGGATGTCCTGGAGGCATGTTCAGAAGCCCTTTCTCAGGGCCTTGCTCCTACTATATCCTGAATTTTGGATTCTGGAAGAATAATCCACAAAAACTTCTTTCTCTCATCCTTTGGACCCATTCTTTCCTGCTCCATAATTGTATTGCTCAAACGAACAGCTGGCATTTATTGAACACCTACCACATGCCCGGCACAGCAGTTGACCTTTAAGGATTGTTGTTTAATTGAAGGCTCATAGCAACCCTGCGGGGTCAGTATGATCATCTTCTTTTTCCAGTGGCTCACAGAGGCTAAGTAGTTCACCTAACCTCACACAGCTATTCACAATGGCTTTTGTCAGTTCTTGGAGAGAGTCATCTCAGGGCCTTAGCACTCGCTGCTCCCTTTTCTTAGCACCTTACACAAGTCATCTTATGGCTGATTGCATCTCATTGTTCCAGTCTCAAATCAAATAGAAACTCCTCCAAAGGGCCTTCCCTAATGCCTGCGGCAGGTGAAGCCCCATCTTCTTGCTAGCAAAGCACACTGTTTTCTTTTCTTTCCAATATTTACTACTGTCTGAAATTATTCATTTCTTTGTCCACTTGTTTATTATCTGTCTCCCCATTCCCACACCCACCTCTCTAGAACATCAGGCGGGAAGGATTTTGTCTGGCTGTGTCCACAGTGTCTAGAACAGTGCCAGGCATATCATGGGTGCTCAATAATTTCTTTTATAGTGAATGAACAATGACTAAGTGAGTGAGTGTCATGGGAGTGTTGGAATTTGAACTCCTATCTGACTCAGCAGCTCATGCTTCTCCCTCCCAAAGAGGTCCAGGTTTCTACCCTGGGGCAAAGTTTCACACACAAGTCTTTGAGAATAGTCATTATCAAGTGACTTGGTAATATCTTTATTAACATTACCCATACTGCCTTTTTTTAAAAATGATTTTTGTGAAGGCTTGCTGGGGCGATTAACCAGGCCAGGGGACTACCAGTGGGTGATAAGCAAATATCTGCAACACGATTAATAACCGTCTATGGGTGAGGAGTCTGGCATTTCAGCTTATCCAGCTTTCACGCTCTTTTATTGGGGCAAAGCATCTGGAGTTTGCTTTGAGAAACCAGCCTTCTCATGGTTCCAGATCAGAGCACTTCATCCTCCAACCACAGTGATTGGGGGAGGGTTGGGCACGTGACCCTAGCCTAGCAATAGGAGAATTTCAACCCCGTGCTTCAGTGATACCTGGACACACCACCCAACACAGGCCCAGGAAAAGCAAACAGAGGTCTTCTGTTGGAACTCTGGGGGATAAAGCATTTTCTTTCTCTCTGGCTTGCAAAGCTGAAGGGACAGAAAACATTTTCTTTTTGTCTGGCTCCAAAGCTGTGGAGCAGCTGGGGGCCCTCTTTCTACCATGAGTAGAAAGGCTGCCTAGAATGAGGCCAACGCATAAGAAAGCATAGCAGAGTAGACGGACAGATTTCTGATGACTTCATTTAAACACCTAGACCCATCTGTGCCTGAAGCTGGCCCTCATCTTTCAGCTTTTGTGTCATCTGAGTCTATATATTCCCCTAGATCTTCCTGGAAGTTTGATTTGCGATTTAGTTACTTGCTTCCCAAAGAACTCTGATGGAAAGGAAAGGTGAAAACAGAGCTTTTTGAGAGCATGTGATTCAGGATCTAGTGGAGACTGAAGATGGGTAAGGGATGCCTTGGGGGAGGAGGAGGACTTAGCAGGTCTTTGTATCCCAAACCTCAGCCTTTCTTATACCACATCTTAATTCCTTCCATATGTACCCCCATCTGCACTTTTATTTATTTATTCAATATCTTACTTAAAAACAGCTCATCTAAAATAAGCTTGACTCAGTTTTTAAATAATAACACCCACAAAAGTGCATCCTAATAGGCTACTTGCATCAGTGCAGATGACGGCAAAAATATAATGATGAAAACGAAACACATCTGTCCACATAACTGTGCAAAAAATTTTGGTGTGTCACTGAAAGAACATGAGCCCTGATCCGCAGCACAACAATGTGAAGATACTTACTGCCGAACTGTACCTTAAAAATGGTTAAGATGGTAAATTTTGTGTCCTGAGCTTTTTTTAAAACCACCATTAAAATTCTTAAAAATTATTTAAAGAAGAAGAAGAGAGAAAAGAGGACAAGGAGCAATCATGTACCTAGCTTGCCTTTATGGTCCAGTCAAGGTAGGATGGAGTTGAAATCAACCCTTGCTGATACTCCAAGAAATAGCTAAGTTACATTTGCAGAAATCTTAACAAACCATCGTCAAGTCCATAGATAACTTGGGGGAAGGGATTAATTAAGAAGTAAAACAGAATGCAAATGGCAGATATAACATCTAATGAGTCACTTCTCTTTCATTAGAGTAAGATAACTTAACCAATGGAGCAAGTTCAACCTGGCTAGTAATGTCATGTGGGTATTATGTAGGCCCCGAAATGATATGATAAGAAGGGCACTTCAAGGAGAAGAAGAAGAAAGAAGAAAGAAGAAAGAAGAAAGAAGAAAGAAGAAGAAGAAGAAGAAGAAGAAGAAGAAGAAGAAGAAGAAGAAGAAGAAGAAGAAGAAGAAATAATAATAATAATAAGAAGAAGAAGAACAACAACAACAATAAGGAGGAGGAGGAAGAAGGGGGAGGGGGTGTTGGAGGAAGAGGAGAAGAAGAAGAGGAAGAGCCCCTTCAGCTCTATGGTATTCTCCCCGACCCCCAAACCCAGAACCCCAGTCTAAGTATGAGAAAAACTTAGCCAAATCCAAATTGAGGGACATTCTACAAAATACCCTGTGTTCCTTAAAATGATCATGGCCATGAGAAAACAAGGTAGGACTGAGAAATTGTCACAAAGGAGATTCAGGAGACATGAAAACTAAATGCAGTGTGGGATCGTGGATTGGATCCTGGAACAAAAGAGGGACATTAATGGAAAAATTGGTGAGATGTGAATAATGTCTAGAGTTAAAAAAAAAAAAAAAAGACCATGAGTCCCACTTGGAGGACAGAATCATGACAATTGCTAGCATTTACAAAAGAACAGGAGTCCCGCTTAGAGGAGACGGTCATGACCCTGACAATGACAAATGCTAGCATTTATGGAGAACTTGACTCTGAGTGGGGCACAGCGCCATATGGCAGGGGATGCCATTCTCCAATTACAGAGGAGGAGAATGAGGCACAGAGCGGGTAGCTAGCTTATCCGAGGCCATGCAGCTGGTACATGACTGGGCAGACCCCGGTGCTAGTTTCCAGAGTCCATGATCTTAAGCATTATATACACCCATCTTTTAGTCACTTGGGCTTCCTAACATCCATAGGTATTAGATATTGTTTCCACTTCTTCACACGAGGAAACAGATACAATGAGTGTGGTTAAATACATTGTCTAAGGCCAAACCCTGTAAGGCACCCTCACTCCAAGCCAGCCTCACTTCCTCCGGTCCTGGGATGATGAGTTTCCTGAGACACTGGTCAGGTCCTGTATTCCTGGCTCCTTGAGCCCGTGCAACATCATCATTCATGTCTCCTGGTGCGCGTGTGCGCATGCGCATGCGCACATGTGCAAAGGGCTCGGTGTGTTGGAGGGGAGCAGTAAAGCATGATTTCACTTATAACAGGACAGATAGCCAGTGCTGGGCGGCTTGGGACAAAGCTGAATTGTGAAAGACAGCTGGAAGGCCAAAAGGACCCCCTGTCCCGCCAGGGGCTAGGTTTGGATAGGGAGAGGTCTTATCCCACGTGTTTCATGTTTCCATGGAAAGACTGGTCAGAGGCAACCCCTGCTCCTTCCAGGGGGTTTGGAAATATCTGCCTACGTTTTGGTTATCACCATGCCTGAGGACAGAACAGTACTGATGTTTAACTGGGCTAAACGTCCCGCAATAATAGGCGGGACTGTCCTCTGCGACAGAGATTCTTCTCACTTAAAATGCCAATAGTGTCCCAGTTAGAAACCTGGAGTTGGAATAAGGCTACAGCTTTTGTCCCACTTCCTTGTTATGAGATTGATGAGTCTAGGAGAGGATACTGAGCTTGCGTGGCTCAGACCCCCCCTCCCTCCATGGATTTGCCTGTCTCTTGAAAGAGTCCACTGTAGCCTGCTACCTCCTGCCATGTGATAAAGGGCCTCCTGGAAGTATGATTATATGTAAGAGAAACTAGTGGTGCCCTCACCCCTGATCTATTAGCCCCCTCTTTCACAGTTAAAGAAGTTTTCCCTGGGCACCTGGTTGCCTGGAATAAAGACTACATTTCCCAGCCTCCCTTGCAGCAAGTGTGGCCCAGAGGCCACGTTCTGATCGATGAGATGTGAGCAAAAGTGCAGTTTTGGGGTCATGCCCTTAAAGGAATGGGCCCTTCCTTTCTTGTTTTCCCTTCCTTCAGGCTAGGGTGGGGACATGGTGGCGTGGCATCTTTGACCATGGGGACAAGCACAACACCATAGGGATGGCCAAGAACAGGGTGGAAGAGCTCAGGCTCCTGACACCTTCACAGAGCAGAGCTGAACACCAGCTTGCACTGTTACAGCAGAGAGAAATACATTTACATATATTTATATGTAATTAAAGCTATTCTTATTTTGAATCTGTTACACAAAGCCAAATTTATATCCTAAATTAAGCTGCTCAATTTAAGGGAAAAGAAGGGGAGGGGATGTCAAACCCATTGGGCCACACAACTCAGTCATGTTTCCTGATATTCTTTAGTGTTTGGGTAATAAAGCCAACATGTTGCCTCCTCTCTCTCTTTTACTTCTGCATCTCTCTCTATTGGTTCTGCCTTTAGGCCAGGATGAAGGGTGATATTCTTTGAGAGTTTAAGTCTCCACCTAGTTGCTGGTAGAAAAGCAGTTGCAAAGAAACCCGAGATTATCTGGAGCTTTTTCTCCAAAGCAGGCTCTGTTATGCAGGGGAAAGACCAGGTATGGGTTTCCCCCTGGATGTAGGAAGCTGAAGAGAAAATGTCCCAGGGGTTTTAGATTGTGAATTTGTTTGCTCAAGCCTTCTTTCTTCTGGTGTGCCTTTCTGTGCTACAGAGGCCAGTAAGCTAAAAGCACACTTCCTCACTTCCCTCGAAGCCAGGGTTCTGCCAGTGTGACATACTTCATGAGATTTGGAAAGGAGAAGTGAAATGGGGGTGCTTATGATGCTTCTGGCATGGATTCTGACAAGCACAGTCAAGGAGAGGCTGGTGTCTTTTTCCACCAGTGACTGGCTTTGTGCATTTTGAGAGGCTCTTATCAGTGTGAATCTAGCAAGTGTGGCATGGTTCTGGAGCCAACAACTCCAGTAGTAGCAACTTTTCTATGATGGTGGCAGTAGCAATTCCCCCAGTGGGTCAGTTCAGAAGCTTCAGATCTTCAGCCTGTGGGGCCTAATGGAATCGGCTTTCTTTTCCTTCCCATCAGAAAGCACCCAGCTAGCTCTCTTTCCCTGGGCTGGGTCTGCCCCCTTTGAGCCTCTCAGAATTGGAATCAGTCCAGTCCTAAATCAAATCAGATGCACGAGAATGTCACAGCACCAGACCTACTCTCCCAACATTTAGAAAATACAGGTGCACCAGCATTTCCCATGTGAATGCAATTTTCTTGCGTTGCTGTTTCAGCCACAGCCCATAGATCAACAGGAGGAAAACATGAATTTAAGTGACACGACACTATTTGCTTGAATAAGAAGGTTTAGCAGAATTATGATGCTCTTTTTACTCCACGAGGGTGGGAGAAGAGAGAAGTGACAATGAAAACTCCCAAGTCTTTGTACTTTTCAGGAAAAGGGAGTGTTGGTGTACATATTATTAGCAAGGGCAACAAATTATTAAGACAAGCAGTCCAGGTTTTAGAGGTGTTATGGACTAAATTGTGGTGCCCCCCATTCATATGTTGAAGCCCTAAATTT